GAGCATATGTTTGTGTTCTTGGTTTGGCCTAAAACGACACAAACTACTTGTAGTTAAACCGTGGTTAGACCATCTTAACGTTTGATTAGAAAACGTACGGTAATTAGGCACAATTAGCCAGTCGCTAAAACAAATTATACACGATACCTACCATTTCGATAGAACCCAGTTTGTTTTGTATATAATTTTCAACTAAATCAGTTATTGAACAATGAAATGAATGAAGGATTTTCATAGTCCTTATGACGAATACAGTATCCAATTGAAGTTAATGTAGGTTAAGTTTTTTGTCCGTATTGTTTTGGCCAGGCTTCTAGATAAGTCCATAATGAGAGTCCCTCGTCCCATCCATTACATTTTAGACAGATTGTGTCGGTGACTGATACTGAAGGCCATCAAACTCCACAATTGGTTTTTGTCAGGAATGAAGGGTGTATTGCCTGCCATTAGTTATTACTTTAACGTTTGTCAAAATATAAAAATTAATAAATAGGGCACGACGCCATATTCAGTTTTGCATGGGTAAAAAAATTCATAACGAACAGATGTCTGAAAAGTCATGTTTGCCTGTTTATAAACGTCAGCGTTACATGCACATGAACGTACGCACACACATACAAAGCAGACGGCATAGGTTCATACTGTTATTAGGAACAAAATATGAAGCTTTTAGTTCCAATTCCAGGTTACTGTATTGTTAATATCCAGGAATTTGTATTTGGCGTCCAATTTCCAATCTGAAAATGCTGCTGATATATAATCACAGGATACAAACATAAGATACGTTGATATTTAGAGACATAAGATAGAGAATGTTTATTAAGTTACATTTGGCGCATAATGACTTTGTGGTAAAGCAGTGTTAAACTCGCCAACACCAAAAAGGAACTTTTCTTTGACAAGCTACGCTTGATACGATTATAACATCATAAGTTTCCATTTGAGTATTACAATTAAAATGCTATGTGTTTAATACAACATAATGAATTTGAGTCAATATTTCTCTTAGGTCGTAGTGCCTGTGTCCGATCGACCCAAAATCTGCGAAATATAGACTCGGCTTTTCGCAAAAATATATTCCTTGTTTTAGGTTAACTGGGGGAAGTGGAGTTTAGAATAGGTCTACATATCTCAATATGGGAAGTTGGCTTTTAGAAAAAAAGAAAGGTGTGTACAGTGGGTTTGGTGTGAATTAATATCTGGTCAGAGGCAACTTCTTTCATTAGAAATTAGTGATATGTCATAATCATATAAGAGGAGGTATTGTTTAATACTTAATTTCATTTTGTACATTACGAACAGAAGCAAAAATAAAATGTACATAAAAAGCAAAAATACAAATGCAACAAATGATACAATAGTTAATACATCAGATACTTACATATCTACCTGTTCATTTTTGTCTTTAAGGGTTCTTTTTATAATGACCATTATTCTAAAAATTCACTAAAAACGATTAAAAAAAATGTGTATATAATAATAATCTATAATATAACATGATATCTGTATAACGCATACACTGGGCTATGGCCTATTATTAGTATGGTCCTTAAATCGTCAAAGGAGAAGTACAGTCATAATCATCATTGATAAATGTATGCCTCTCAAAATGTTTTGATTAGAGTGTGTTTTCAGAGACTGTCAAACAATTCTTCTTCTTCTTCAGTTAAGTTACCGCCTTCAACATTTTTAATATTCTGCAACTTGATTGGTACAGCATGACCATACAATGTTTGGTTTGTTGCCTTCATATTAGGTAATATGTTTTAATAACTTCGGGTTCGATGGGTCGCGTCAGAGTGCTTCACATATAATTTGGGTCGTGGGCTAAAAAGGTTGGGGAACGGGGTTTTAAATGGTCCTCATATCTACACTCTACTTTGGAGTGTCAACCAAAATCTTAACCTTTCTTCATTGAAACGTGACAAACTATTCTGGTAAGTAAGTTTCATTTTGATCCATTGATCCATTTTAGAGATATTATTATTAAGGTCTGGAACCTAATGGCCCTCACATTCACACCCGGATTTGGATCTTCATCAACACCTAACAATTTACTTTCTTATAACTTGATTATAGTTTCACGAAAGTTTATTTCGGGTCAGTTGATTACCTTTGGAAATATCTGGTCTTTGAATGGTGGTCCTAATACCCCGGGTCGTCACCAACATAATTACCTCACCCTTGGATCATACTTAACACTCCCTGTACTGTCTCTTATACACATCTAGATGTGTATAAGAGACAGATATAATGTATACCGGTATAAATACTCAGATATGTAAAATGTGACTTTAGAAACAATACGATTTATTGCAACGAATATTTCGACTACTGTAGTTTTTGTCAAACGCTTGAGATAAAATAAACATTCTCAGATACTGTTGGGAGGTAATATACAGTTTGAAAAACAATAGTTAAGTCCAAAGCAAGCCGGCATACTATCGCGAGCGATTTCGGTCCCCACAAGACACCTCTTTTTTCATACAACCATGGAGGAAAGAAGGGCACTGCTTTTCTTTCTCCCATGATACAACTGTGTTGACCATGGAGGATAACATCATGTCCCTATATATTTGAGAACTCTATTATCTATTTGATTTATACATTATTTTTTTCAGAATCGTTTGGTGGATCTTGATATTGGTAAGACCTTTTTCAATTCCAAAAAGAAGCTCTCCCAGAAGGAATCTAACTAAAAAGTGAAATTTCATTGAAGAATGTATCAGAAGACAAAATCTAGATTAGAAAAATGTACATTTATAATAATTATGGTGCCAGTTCTTATAAAAATATATATTAATAATAGTATAACAGGCTTGTTTTTTTCCAAACACACTCAGTTACCAAGTAACTAAGGTATTAAGTAACCTACTTACTGACTTAATAGTAACAGTACTTCGCAAGTTAGTAAAGAAACTCGGAATTTTGAAACACAGTTCCTTCAGTTATTCCTAGACAAAAACGGAATACCCGGTTGGCTTATTACATTATACGATCCTCCATTTTGATAAAAACCTGCCTAAACAAGGATTATTGTTATATGTTAATGAGCAAGTCCCTGTCACTTGACCCTTTGTTTGAAACGAGAAATTAGTAGGCCCTTTCACATTTCACGCCTGGAAAGCGTCAACAAGCCACAAGCTTGCGTCTTGGAAGCGTTTCTTTTTTATATCGTGCCCTACTACCCAGTTGTTGTGAACAATAACAGCTTTGTGTTGATAATTAGACATCGTGTTATTGAAATACATTTGTCCGTTTGGAAACTCATGTGAGCCCAGAACTTTTCGTTTTAATCTAGCTTTAAAATCTGGAGAATTTAGTAGCTTATTCAAAATTGTTTGATCATTAGCTTTACTGTCATATTTTTCTTTCAGTGTCATCTGCGACCATTTGTAGACAAATCTATTTACAGGTGTGGAAGAGCGAAAGTAAACCATACCGGCACAATAAGTGATAGGTACACGACGTTTTCTAAAATAAACGTCTCTTTGCAAAATGACGTCATAATCTCCGACGAAATATGGAAAAGGATCCTTCAACCAAAACGTGTCCACGTCACAGAAGAACACATTTTTACCCTTCTGAAGTTCATCATAAATATATTTTGGACGTCTGTACACAAGTTTTTTATATTCACGAGTGTTGTACACCAGTTTCGACTTGTTCGTTGATTGAAGGGAACTACCTTTGCGAATATACGTTGTAGAATCTTTATATGATTTCAGTTTCTCATATGCTTCTTCGTCCTCCGCGACCAGAATAATATTAGGGCGTATCCCAAGTTTCTTGATGGATTCAAGCCAATTTATGGCCATATCTAAAAATCCAGAATTGGTTGAAGATAGAACAACAGTATTCTTCATCAAGTCTTGAGCGTCTTTTTTCTGTACTGTCAGCGAGATTCGTGGCACATGAGTCAAGACATTTTCTTCAAAATGATTTGTACTATTTTTACCTGAAATATAATGTGGTGTGACATAATTTGGAAAGAAAATGAATATCATTGTCAGCATTGACATATAATAATAAATATATCTTACAGGTCTGAAATTTTACTGTTTCCGCAGTTCATACTGTTATCAACACAATTAGAATGTGTTATGTTAATATTTAATTAACGGGATATAAAATTACAGCTTGGATATTAGGTTCGTCAATCATAATCATTCCAATTTACTATGAGCTTAAGGAGTAAAGTTGGGCAATGAAAATGATTGAATATGATATGGGTAAGAAAAGACAAATTTTTTTTTGACCAATGTACCGTTTACATAATGTAGGTAGATATTCCGTTACAATCATATATTAACATCAATAAGAGTGAAAGTAATAATTTTGGTTGTAATTACTTACTGTTTAGATGTACACCCCATAATATTATGCAAGAACATGTTAATAAAAGTAGAGACAAAGTAGCCGAGGGACCAAAACGCAACTGAAACCTGTAACAAATAGGAAAATAAGAATGTTGTAATTTATGTAAGAAGATATTAATTGTTGCTATTATAAAGTATGCCCTAGTTCTGGTGCTATCATATTGTTATTAATAATAATAATAATAATAATAATAATAATAATAATAATAATAATAATAATAATAATAATAATAATAATAATAATAATAATAATAATAATAATACTCAGTAGAGAGGAAGCATATGTCCGCCCACTGCAAATCCTATCCTATGAATCAAATCTGTCCCTAATTGACTTCAACCATCCCACTTAACTTCGCTCCACGCCTCTAGGAAAACGCACAGTAACTCAGTCAGACACTTTTTATTTCAAAGAGAGGCACTATTTCCAATTTTAGTATAGGTATTTTGGGAGTCATTTCTAGGGTGGCCATTTTCAGATTTTGTAATCCGAATAATTTCAACAAAATTCACTGTCGGTCTACTTTTCACTACGTATGTTACGTTTTGAACACATAATCTAAGCAAGATAATTATAGTATTGAAACATTTTATTTTCAAATTCTGAAACTGTAAAAAAAAATTTTACAGCTCACTTTCCAACCAACACCTAATGCACTAGCCGGCCTTTTATTATTAGTTGTATAGTAACAGTACTGCCAATTCCTTACTTCTTCACACGGGAACATTTTACTTTCACAATTGACATAACAAACACGTGCCAAGTATTGGTGTTGAAATGGAAATATCATGTAAATTAACTTATCGAAAAATTTGATAACTTACGTGATATTGTTAAATGAGTAATTCAAAGTTATATTTTTAATTTTACAGTATAGGTTTTACATAGTGATTTTGTGGGTGATAGGCCTAATATGTTTTAATAAATTCACAAAAGGATCAAGAGGGTGGTTTTTCCCGCTATCCCTCGCGCGTATAAAACGACGGACGTTTTAATAACTTCGGGTTCGATGGGTCGCGTCAGAGTGCTTCACATATAATTTGGGTCGTGGGCTAAAAAGGTTGGGGAACGGGGTTTTAAATGGTCCTCATATCTACACTCTACTTTGGAGTGTCAACCAAAATCTTAACCTTTCTTCATTGAAACGTGACAAACTATTCTGGTAAGTAAGTTTCATTTTGATCCATTGATCCATTTTAGAGATATTATTATTAAGGTCTGGAACCTAATGGCCCTCACATTCACACCCGTATTTGGATCTTCATCAACACCTAACAATTTACTTTCTTATAACTTGATTATAGTTTCACGAAAGTTTATTTCGGGTCAGTTGATTACCTTTGGAAATATCTGGTCTTTGAATGGTGGTCCTAATACCCCGGGTCGTCACCAACATAATTACCTCACCCTTGGATCATACTTAACACTCCCTGTAACTTCTATTTAGAACCTTAGAACTTTAAATGACCTTTACGAATTCACACTTGAATTTGGATGACACCAACACTTACAGGTAAGAATGTCTTCCTTGTAACTTTCACGAAACTGTCATTCAGAACAGTTCATTAGTTTTTGAAATATCTTTTGTAGGACGTTTTCCTTTAAATGGTCCTCATATCTACAACTTAGTCCAGGTCGTCAACAAAAATTAATCACCTAATCTTTGGGTTATAAATACCTAACACTCCCTGTAATATTCACTTAGATCTGTGCAGCCGTTTTTGAGATATTTTGAACACAACACACACACACAAACTTACACCACTGAAAACATCTCATGGGGGAGATAATAATAAACAGGGTAATAATCCTGATAATAATACTACTAATAATATTAATAATGGCAATAGTAATAGAAAAAAACATGCGCAAAATACATTGCACATATACCGTACAGTATGAAAGAATTTGTAAACTTTAGTAAATAAAACATTAAATTGGTAAATTGGATAATATTAATAATTGAAATACAGAAATGTGTATTTTTAAATTAATTACTTAAGTAGTAAGCAAAACATCAATAATAATATTAATAATATACTACCCTGTAATAAATATATAAGATATGAACTTCATTTTTCAGATTAGCTTACCTAAATGGCACCATTGTTTTTCTTTGGCGATTCTGTGAATAAAATGCACAGATGCGATTTTATATATTATACAAAGACCGAAAGATACCGAAGCTATTAACGAAGTCCTTCAGTTAGAGAAAAATACGTCGTAGTAATTATACGTTGATCATGAGAGTTTTCTTGGTAAATTTCTACATCAAATATTGTCAATTTGTTACAAATGTAGGCCTACCATACATACTTATTATTATCTACCGTATGTATTTGATATAAAAACCTCACATCTATCCGTGATGGATGCTCGAGATTTTACAATAATAACAAGCATGAAAACACGAAAATATTTAATCAATATTTACGGAACTTAATCACAACGTACAAACACATTACACAAAAAAACAATAATAATCTTACAAGTTACAATTCAGATTATATAGCCTATATTATACTATTTACAATTCAGAAATGAAATTATGTATATATTTTTTTAATTCAAAGATCACATAACATATTTATACTGTATGACGTCAAGTATTTGTTAATTTTAAATAAACGCTGTGACACAGGTCCGGTTCCGGATCTATTGTCGTTTGGGTCAGAATATCCGTGTACCTGATTCGTTTATCTTGACTGGCTCTGTTGTTTTCGGGTCTCAGGGAACCGAGAAATACAAACCGTAGGCCTATGCCCACACGTGTATTTGCTGCATGCTAAGCCTGTTTAGTAACGGTAGTAATGACTAGTAATACCTTTGTGTGATCTAATAATTGTTCCTCTCATGGGGTTGCCAAAACGCAGCCGATTCTACCTAAGTGATAAGTTTCGGTGACAATTAAATAATATGCTGATACACTTCTATACTGGTGACAGCACCAGCCATCAATCACCTGATCAGAATCCCCTAATCAGGTTTGGTGACGGCATCATGAATGGTGATGTCACCGAAACTGATACTTATCAGATTTATTAGAATCGGGTGCAAAACGATATTACTATTTTAGTAAACGAATCTATAGTCCTGAGTTTCGGAAGCAAATTGAAATTTTTATTCAATTATTTTGAGGACCCAAATGTTTAACCCTGGTAAAATTGGAGACCCAAATACGATACATAGAGACCCAGTTTATAGGAAATTATTCATCAGTGTAGGAATATAAATGTGCATCTGTAAGGATCAGGAAGCATAGATGGTCTGATTTATTGTAAAAATATATTTTGGCGGATGACATTGAAATCCATGCATTACTAGACGTTACCGACGTGACGCACACTAGATGTTACTTGACAGATTTTAGCCAAAATGGTCAAGTCAAGTTTCTGCAACTGCAGAAAGATCTTTCTTAAGTTAATCTAGCTGTTATCTTTAAAGCAGACAGGCCTATATGAACAGTTTATATTTCTAAAAAAAATAACAAGAACTGGAATCGCTTGCCCTTTAATCAATTGGGAAAAAACGAGACCCGGTCAATAAATAGCATACATATATTGATGGAAAATGTTTGCGGAAAGGGTCCTACTAAATACCACACGGACCACACGGATGCAAAAATGATAAAAATATTACCACACGAGAGTAGAAAACTGCTTAATAATCAATAGTAACCAACTTTTAGAACGATAATCGTCAAAATTCCGTTAAAAATCGATTCTGTTGGTTTTGCCCATCGGGCCTCGGTAAGTAATGCGTTGACATTGTGGATCTATAACGCATTTACGTGTCAGCAGGAACGAATTCAGCCATTTGTTGGAATGTGTTATAATTTAAAATGTATCATAAATAAATATATTTTTTAATATTGAATCTGTTTATTTATATTTTACTCGTATCCTAATGGAATCTAATTCTTAACTTCAGATATATTGGTTGTCCTGAATCTATTTATTTATAATATATTTTACACTATTACAATCTCCTTTTAACTCAATTGTTTTTACACTGAAATATATTATTAAAAAGGCAACAAACAAAACCCCTAATAACTCACGGAATGAAATCTGAACTGACAATCTTTCTCTTCCGTGGGAGTCACACCTACCATTATTTCAATCTTATTTGCAAGAACTATTTTTATTAAATTTTCCATTTTTGTAATATACATAATTTAAATAGATAAGACTTATTACATTATAATATAATAATAATTATGTGATAATGATAATAGTAAATAGTACAATTATGTATATTACTTATAACATAATAAAGTAGTAATTTTAACAACAAATACTATTAATTTTTCCTTTTTATTATTTACAATGTTAAAGTTCATTAGCCTTTATGTGGTGTGCCTTGAATATTTTAAAATAATAGTCTCTCAATGAAATATAACATACGTACTGAGTGTAGTAGGCCTATTTAAAAGATCATGGTTGAACGCGTTTCTGCAGACGTCAATGCGTTAGAGTACTCAATGTCAACGCATTACCTTCTGTAAAAAAATACTGTTAAAAATTAGTCACTTTTTACCATAACTCGGACAACTATCACTATAAAAGGTGGTTTTTATTTATTATCAAGCCGTTTTCTACTCTCGTGTAGTAATATTTTAATACATTTCGCATTCGTGTGATGTCGTACGTGGTCCGTGTGGTATTTAGTAGGACCGTGCGGAAATGAATCCCTATGACAGATTTAAGTGGTCTAGGCCTATGCCAAAAAGTAACTTACAACTAACAGTCACTGGGTTGATAATACAGTATAAACGCCATAGTTTGTTTCAGCCACCCTCGATGTCAAATAATCGTGTATAGGTTCCTCCGGCCCCAGTTACAACACTCGGTTTGCTCGCATAGAACTCCAACCCCAATAAGCCACTATATTATAGGCCTAAATAACAGTGGAAAATACTTACGGTAAATGTAAGTGAACGTATATTTTTTGGTTTGATTAGAGACTAAACGACTGCATGTTTCTCATGGCATCTCAATAATTTGTATACCTTTACTGAGGTGTCCTACTGTTTACTACTTAAGTTGAACCTCTACTATTTAATATCTCCATGGTTGGAAGCTCATGAATGCGTTGCTAACACAATGAGTATCTTATAATACAAAGAGACATCAAAAGAGGCATACCTTTAGCTATTATTCTCGATCCATTGTAGTCAATGAAGTGGAAAAATGTGTAATACTGCACACAAATACAGCCTGCCTTCCAAATGCACATAGTTATTCATGAACGTTTTGGCATCTTATGTATGCATTGCATTAGTCTTCTATAGACAGCTAATTGTAAAATAGGTCTAGGCCTACTATGATAAAAATGGAGAAAAACTGATTTACAAAGTACACGTTAATTGCACAATCTAAAACGTATTTGACCCATTAATTTTAATAATAAGGACCGAACATCAATAGAACGCTGGCAAACTTGGCTGAGGCTATCGGCACTGCCGCAGTGCGAAAAAGCTACATGTTTTCTATCAGCACTGCCGCAGTCCGAAAAAGCTGTGTTGTTTTCTTTAAAATACCACAAATAGTAGAGGCTAAATATGTTTTAACCTTAAACAAACTCTAATAAAAGGACTTTTTGTATATTCTTGTACGTCTATACGTAAATAATTATGGAAAAATTTTTGCCGCCTTTTTATAGTTGTGTTGACCAGATATTCAGGGTCAAGGGTCAATGACCTTTATATAACATGTTCTATGTCATTAGTCTTTAACCACTTGCTCTAAAAGCACAAAAATAGTATTTACACCTGGGTTTTAGGGGTCAAAAATTATGGAAACATTTTTGCCTTTTAGCGTTGACCAATATTCAGGGTCAAAGGTCAATGACCTTTATACAACTATGATTGTCATAACTCCTCAACCAGTTCGCCTAGATGCACAAAAATAGTGTCTACACCTAGGTTTTTGGGATCAACATTTATTGAAACATTTTTGCCACCTTCTAGTAGCTCCGTTGACGGTCAGAGGTCAATGACCTTTATACAACATATGATGATCATAACTCCTCAACCACTTGGTCTAAAAGCACAAAATATAGTGTATGAATTACTAGGTCTATGTTAAATTAATATTATCTATTAAAATTGTATATTTAAATAATATAATATAGTAATAGGCATAGCCAAGGCCTAAACCTAGTGACTAGCCTATGTGTGTAGTGTATAAAATTATGAATAAAAAGTATGAATAAATGCAAATTGTGAAAGAATAAAGGAAGAAGGAAGAATAGGATAGAGATTTGGAACGGCTGAAATATTTTCCAAAAATATACAATATTAGTCAATATTCGACATCGAATAGGTCCGATTGATGTCGACTTTTTTTTTAGACTATACACATACTTTAAAGACAGTTTAAAGTCTGGTAAGCGTTCGAACCGCGGCTCTGGTGTGAGGAGGGTCATCAAAGCCAGCGGGAGTATGCCCAACAATTGGTCTACATTCCTGAGATGTGATGACAACAAATCAGAGTGTTTCCATTAATTGTAAACGAAGTAGTTGAGAACATTGACACAAACCACGGATTGTTTGTAGAGTGTCTGGGAGACGGAGCTGTAGCAAACCAGTATGTAGATCTGCAACCATTGCTATGTAACATGAAAGAGGCAGATGAACGTATATTTGTTCATGTTAAAGATGCTGCATGAAAATTGTCCACGCATGCTTGTCAAGACTGTAGACAGTGATGTTGCTGCTATTGAGTTATCAGCTTTCCACAGAATACCTGCATGGCATCCAGGAGCTTTGGCTCGAGGGGAAGCACTTAAAGTACATTCCAATACACACGATTGCTACTTCTCTGGGACCACAGATATCAACCGCTCACAATTGTCCTTTCACTACTTTAGCGGTTGTGATACAACTTCATCTGTTCAAGGTAAGGTAAACCGTCATTTAACGAAACTTGGAAAAAGATGCCATGTATGATTCCAGTATTCTAGAGAATCTGTAGGAGATGTTAGTGAAACAGACACTAGAACAAGAGACAACAACCTAGTTCTAGACACTAGAACTAGGTTGTTGCTATGTACTGCGGCACATTTGATGGTAAGAAGGTAAATGATGCAAGGTGATACCTATTTACAACTGGGGAAAGGCAATACCCCCTACATTAGCTGCATTAAAGAAACATGTCAAACGATCTGTACTACAATCCAGGAAGTGGTAAAACTGTCTAGATGCCCTCGGAGTTGAACAGGACCCAGTTAATTGGGGATGGATGAAGGACGACAACAAATTTACTCCAGTTTGGAGCTCTCTGCCGAACTTTTAAATGTTACCAAGGTGTTAATTCGTTGTGGACACACAAACCAGTGGCGGATCCAAAGGGGTTCAGGGGGTTCGGACGAACCCCCCTCTGTGAAGAAACGTAACAAAATACTACTGGGTCCTGGCTTTGCATAGCAAACGTTATGTAACCACTAATAATATTCAGGTCCAGTCTTGGCGTAGGTATGGGCAGTGCAGTATTGGGGGCTCGTTTAATAGGTCTAATCTGGTCTAATGATCTAAAAATATAACTTTAAAAAATCCTATTTAAACTTTAAATGGACCCTTCAATAATATTAGGTTTTAGAGGCTATAATATTGATTATATTCATTACAATTTACCCATTACCAATTTCCCACACGCTGCAAGTAAAAAAAAACCCAACAAAACAAGCCCTTACATACGATGCACTAATGTACTTTTTGAAATCACATTTCTAAAGCAATAAAATATCGTCACGCACATTTGTGTTTGTGGTATTTTAAAGTTGGTTCAAATATTATTGTGTACGTTTTGAAACACTTCAGATCATCATAACTTCACGAATACATTTTATATTTACTTCACTGCAAGTAGGTTGATGAATGTTGTATTATTGAATGGTAATTGTTATTATCATGATGGAAAAGACAATACCTGGATTTGCGTCAGGAGAATCAATTAGGGGGCCTATATGTATTTTGCCCAACCTGTCGTGAATATGTATTGAATAGGCCTACTCAGTGCGTGATGCACTAATATACTTTTTGAAATCACATTTCTAAAGCAATGAAATATCGTCACGCACATTTGTGTTTGTGGTATTTTAAAGTTGGTTCAACTTATTGTGTACGTTTTGAAACAATTCAGATCATCATAATTCACGAATACATTTTGGATTCACTTCACTGCAAGTAGGTTGATGACTGTTGTATTATTGAATGGTAATTGTTATTATCGTGATGGAATAGACAATACCTGGATTTCCGTCAGGAGAATCAACTAGGGGGCCTATATGCATTTTGTCCAACCTGTGTGAATATGTATTGAATAGGTCTACTCAGTGCGTGATGCACTAATATACTTTTTGAAATCACATTTCTAAAGCAATAAAATATCGTCACGCACATTTGTATTTGTGGTATTTTACTTATACACATCTCTATTATTGTGTACGATTTTAAACACTTCAGATCATCATAACTTCATAAATACATTTTAGATTCACTTCACTGCAAGTAGGTCGAGATGACTGTTCTATTATTAAATGGTAATTGTTATTATCGTGATGGAATAAGCAATACCTGGATTTGTGTCAGGAGAATCAATTAGGGGGGGCCTATATGTGTAATTTTGCCCAACTTGTCGTGAAAATGTACTGAATAATCAGTGCGTGTGAAAGTTGTTCTCCAGTGGGACTCGAACACAATTCTCCAGTTCCAGGTCACTAGTCTGGCATCATACCTCTAGACCACCGAGCTTGCACCTGATGGCCAGGGCTGAATTCGAGCCATAGTTACCAACCGTCACGCATCGTGCGGGACAGTCCCGCGTTAAGTTTCAAAGTGATTTTG